ACCCCTCAAGGGAGATGGCCATACCACAATCTCTTCTCCTCTTGGGATTCTGGGAATGCATATAGTTGTGCCTGGCATGCTTTTCAAGCTGCCTGGCTCCAGGACTCGAACCACACTATTAGCTATATGGGATCCAGTCGCCTTAACCACATGCCACTGTCTGGCCCACATCACTTTAACAACACTAAACCACAGCTCAAAGATAACCTTTTCTTCTGGGAATAAGGATGTGTTTGAATTTGCACCAGAGAGGGTAGGAGCTGTTTCATAGCCTTTCAAACAAGACCAGCATTGTCAAAAGTTTGTTGTTCTCCTGCAAGTCCCTTATTCTCCTCTGCCTTCAAAAGATTTTTTAAATTGTTCAGGGCCATGATGTTGCCCAGTTTTGCTACCAACTTTCCTTTTTCTTGATCTTTTGTTTCAATGTCTGCTTTCTTTTCCCTGTGTGCTTTCTGAAGCCTGATTGTGGGGGTCAAACTATAATTAGTTTATATATGAAGTTTAATTCATTGTGGCTCTTTGGCATTAGACTCAAATGGGCTTTGATGTCTGGCTGGAGCTTTGATCCTAGACTTTTGAATGGTGGTCATCACCCCAACTCAAAGGATTGCCTTTTACTTTTTTTCTCCCTTTTGGAGACAGCTTTTCCCAATTACATCACTTGTGTTTGGCCATAAAAGCTGCAAGGCATCATTTTGTTGCTTTTCTCTATAGCAAAATGTGCAATTGACGCCTCCTACTTTGCTTGGCTGCAACAGAAAGCTCACTGCTGGCTAAGGCATTTGCAGAATGTTGCACGCACTTTGGTGGGGACGCTCTTTAGAGTTCTGCCTAAGGGCAAAGCGGCAGACTGTGTGATCCCAGGGGCCCTCTCTGGCTCTGCCCAGGAAATATCTTTAAGCATAAGTTACACTACTGTAATATATTCAACCAAGACTCTCGTGGTGGATACTTTATCTTCCTCTCCAGATCCTCCAGGCAACAGATCTATCCCATCTTTAGTGCCACACTTCCAGAGTAGCTTTTCTGAGAAGGCAGAGGCCTTCCGGGAAAGCAAAAGAACTAACCAGGGCCACCAAACAATAGTACAAAGGAGATAATGATACAGCATCTGTGGAAGAAGCAGCAGTAGCACCTGCTTTAAAATAAAAGGAAAAAGAAAAATAAGAACAGAAGGGGAAGTGGAATCCTGATGGTGGAAGGGAGCAGTGAGTGATAACTTTCAACCACCTCTGGAATACCTGGATCTAAACAAAGACTCAAGGAGGAAAGAAAATTCAGGGAACTAGACAAGAAGAGAAAATTTGGCTATTGGGTAAAGAAGACACCAGGAGCAGGCCAGTAGGTGGCATGGTGGTTAAGGTGCTGGACTCCCACATGACCAACCACAGTTGGAGTCTCAGGCTTGGCACCTTGCCACTTTCTCTTTCTCATCAAATTAATAATAATAATAATAATAATTTTTTTTTAAGAAGAGACTAGGAGTGGGGCCAGCTGTTAGTGTAATGGCTATGCCACTGGACTCCCATGTAGTCACAGCGGTTTGAGTCCCAGACCTGGTGGCTTAAACTCATGCTGGGTGTGTGTGTGTGTGTGTGTATGCGCCCAAGATCCTGAGAGGAGAATGGAAGAGAAGGGATTGCAGCATAGACATCCCCCTGGGGGGTGATTTCTCTCTTTCTGTCTCTCTCTGGTGAGGACACGCACCCTATAGCAAAACCCTCTCAAAAAAATTTTTTTAAAGAAGAGACTAGGAGCAATCCAGCTAGTTTCACTTAATCTGATGATATTGGGAATTTTTCTGGAAAAACAATTACAGCATTTGAGCTCCTTGCTCCTAACTGCATTTGACAGCCTTAATTTGTTTTAATTGGGGTATGAATGAACAGTATTATTTATTAATGTGTAATGGATACCTCTGAAAACATAACCTTTTTTTCTCTTTGTACATTTTATTGACAGAACCATCTGAATACATTAGTTTTAAAATTTAAACTTGCCGGGAATACTTTTCATGGAGATGTACAAGCTGTTACAACAAATGGCTTGCTTTTGCC